ATAGAACCTGAATGTATGGAGTACAGACTAGCAGGATGCCAAGTCTGTTGAATAATCTAGATCTCAGGACAAAAGAGTATTCCTTAAATGCTCATTTCATTGCTGTGTTATAACAGTAATCGTTAAAAGGATGTTTCCTTTCAAGTATTTGTTGCTACTTTTAGGATGTTTCTTTAATTACAATGCACTGTTTTTGTAGTAATTTTTAGACAGCATGTATATCTCTTTCTGGCTAATTTTGTGCACTAAAACATAAATACTGACTTTAGGCATACTTTACTATCAAGCATTTTTCTTCTACCATGGGAACGACTATTGCTTTCCCTTTGAGTCTTTCTGCAATATATGTACATGCAAGAGCAGTTTTTTTTTTTTTTTTCAGGAACCCCCTCCGCCCCGAGTGCTTCTCTTCTGCAGACATGGGGAGACATGTGGTGAGAGGTGGGTCAGGTGATAAGTTCTGCAGACATGGGGAACACTTCAACATGAGATGCTTTAGAGAGACGTGTGGTTGAGAGGGTGGGGTCAGGTGGTAAGTTCTGCAGACATGGGGAACACTTCAACATGAGATGCTTTAGAGAGACATGTGGTTGAGAGGGTGGGTCAGGTGGTAAGTTCTGCAGACATGGGGAACACTTCAACATGAGATGCTTTAGAGAGACATGTGGTTGAGAGGGTGGGTCAGGTGGTAAGTTCTGCAGACATGGGGAACACTTCAACATGAGATACTTTAGAGAGACGTGTGGTTGAGAGGGTGGGTCAGATGATAAGTTCTGCAGACATTGGGAACACGTCAACATGAGATGCTTCAGAGAGACATAGTGTGGCTAAGAGGGTGGGTCTGCTTCAGACTGAAACTACAGGGTTAAAATCCCAGCTTCGGGCTGGTGATATTTGCAAGAACCATTGGTTTCTAATGATATCACACAATCTCTTGGTCAGTCTTCTTCTTTTTCTTCTTCTTAGCATTCTGTGGCCGGTATACTCCGGCGGGCAATTCTGGTTGATCGTCTACTTCTAGACTTAAGTATTGTTGTAGAACAGTGGTTTTCAACCTGTGGGTTGTGACCCTTTGTTTAGGTTGAATGACCCTTTCACAGGAGTCACCAAAGACCATTGCAAAATAAATATTCACTGAAGTTATGAAGTAGCGACAAAAATAATTGTATAGTTGTGGGTTGCCACAACATGAGGAACTGTATTTAAGGGTCACCACAACATGAGCTATATTAAAGGGTCACCACGATATGAGGAGCTATATTAAAGGGTCACCACAACATGAGCTATATTAAAGGGTCACCACGATATGAGGAGCTATATTAAAGGGTCACCACGATATGAGGAGCTATATTAAAGGGTCACCACAACATGAGCTATATTAAAGGGTCACCACGATATGAGGAGCTATATTAAAGGGTCACCACGATATGAGGAGCTATATTAAAGGGTCACCACAACATGAGCTATATTAAAGGGTCACCACGATATGAGGAGCTATATTAAAGGGTCACCACAACATGAGCTATATTAAAGGGTCACCACGATATGAGGAGCTATATTAAAGGGTCACCACAACATGAGCTATATTAAAGGGTCACCACGATATGAGGAGCTATATTAAAGGGTCACCACAATAGGAGGAGCCATATTAAAGGGTCACCACAATATGAGGAGCTATATTAAAGGGTCACCACAATATGAGGAGCTATATTAAAGGGTCACCACAACATGAGGAGCTATATTAAAGGGTTGCAGCATGAGGAAGGTTGAGAACCACTGTTCTGGAACAGTGCAGATGCACTCTGATCTCCAAAGAAACACCCGTAATTAGTTGCCTTTCACCACCTGCTTATGGGGGGGGGGGGGGGGGCAGTGGGTCTTCCCCCCCCCTCCCCCGCTCACATGTTGAGGCCCCACAATCCATATCGGGAACTCCTAGTTGCTCCTTAGCATTTCTCTGATGTAATCCTCTCTTAGTCTGTCCCTTCTGGTTACAATGGTAGCTTTTATAAGTCATGTTATCTGGCAGGTTGTCAGCCTTGTCTCCTGTGTCTTGGTTAATGACCAGGTGTGACCTTGGTGACAAAGATGAATATGCTGTCATTTAATATCTTCTCTTGTTACTAACGTTTTCAGCATTCTTGAATTGTTGTTCTTTCTCTTTATTCTTCCCTGTTGAAGCATAGGGTCAACAGCTAATTCTTGCTCTCCAGGTGGGGGGGGGGGAGTGAACCTGATGCCTCGTGACAGGCATGTCGTAACAGGTAACTAATTAGGGATTTGTTGAAATCGGATATCACAGCCTAGCTGTAAACAAAAACACAGCATGCCAGCTGCGACAAACAGAATAAGAATCAACTCTTGGTGTTTTTCAGTTCTCTTTCACCCTGTAGGTTCTACTGCCTCCTCCCCACCCACCCACCCTCCAAAGCATGTCATAAAGGGCTACTGAATAGGGGTCTTTCCTCTGAAGCCAGAGTAAATCTGCCTGAGATGCAAAGAACCAACAGTTTGCATACAGACAATCCTAATCTGTAAAACAGGTTTGCACGTATAACCCAAGTTCTGGGACAAAGGTCTAGAAACGGATGAACAACCAGAGCATTCCACTGGAGTTTACAGCTGGTAAATGTAAAAAAGGAGAAGTCCAGTTCTTTGCGATCAAATGCAGCTCACCCCGATCAACTGGGTTTTTCTTCTTCTCTTTCATCCAAAGATGTAATTGCGTTGTGCCCGTTTACAGCATGGCTGCGGTATTTGCGCCTTTCGACCAACACATCCGACTTCTGCAGGCATTTATTGGCCGGTTAGCCCTCCCAGTTAACTCAGTTTTTAATTCTTTGTCCATTCATTTTTTTGGGATCTGCCTTGTTTTTGCACTGTGGTGAGTTCAGAGACAGACTTTATTATCAGGGTCTCGGTGCATGTCCTGTTCTTCTTAAAGTCCATGCCGTGTGGCGTTGGTAGTCTATCCAACCCCTTCTGTCTTGTGTACTTTCGATCAGCTCTGACACCGATGATCTTCCATGCCATGTCAAACTGTCCAGCATCTGTTCTCTTGGTCTCTCTCTGTCTCTCCTCCCCTCCAACTTCCCTACCGTCACGATGTACTTTAGTTTTCTCCTTCTCATCACATGACTGAAGAATGTAGATTGTCTCTTTCTGATGTGGGCAATCAGTTCTCTTCGTGAGCCAAGTTTCTTTCAAGACGTCTTCATTTTTTTTTTTATCTGTCCAGGGTATTCTCATCATTATTCTATAAAATCACGTCTCCGCAGCTTCCAGAAAAGTTTTCACTAATTTACTAACTGTCCATGATTCACACCTATATTATATCAATACAGGATTTATATAGCTTTTGTCTTTAGTAAAATGTACAGCACACTGTTATTGCTTCTTGGCTCTTGATTCGCTGAAGCTGGTTCCTGAAGCTCCACTCATACCCCTTGACTCCCTCTTTTCTGTGCTGGAACTCTCTCCTTCTGCGTTCATTGTTCAAGGTGGTTGTGGTTTAGGCTGCAATATATCTGTACAACTTATCACAGACATCGGAAGGAGGCAGTTATCATTTTTCGGCTATGTTATGAGAAGAGAGAAAATTAGAACATGTTGTGACTACTGGAAAGATCTGGAAGGAGGAATAGAGGAAGACAACAAGAGATTCTTGACAGTTTTGTTGCATGGCATGGAGGTGTGTCAGCACATGAACTGATACATGCTGCAAGAGTTTGCAGATTGTGGAGAGGCATGATTGCCCACGCCAGTCAGCAAGGCACCTGATAATGATGATATCTGTACCTTTACGACCCAATGAATCAATTTTTGGCAAACCCATAAAGTCACCTCTTTAAATATGCTTGTGGGCCGGATTTATTTAAATGTCCCTCTGCAAAACACACCGGCAGGTTTCATTTAATCTTCTTCTTTTTCGCCAGCTGTAAACTCTGGCGGAAAGTTTTGGTTGCTCGTCCACTACTGAACTGCAGTCCTGTTCCAGAACCTGAGTGTTGCGTGTGCATCAATTTTACAGATCTGACTCATTTGTATGCAGACTGCTGGTTCCTTGCCTCTCAGGCATATGCACTCCGACTTTGAAGAAAGTTCCCAATTAGTCGAATCTTACAACATGCTTTTGGGTAGGCAGTGGGTCTATTCTTGTTTTCCCTATAACAAGGCCCTGGAACGCACACTAGGATAGTTACATTTAATGAATGTTCTTTGTTGCTTGTAATTGTTTTAGTCGTTGTCCATGTTTCTGCCCCATTTAGTAAACTGATTTGGCTTTAGAAGTAAATATTCAAGTTTGCTATTGGTTTTGATTTTCTTTGACTGCCCCAGATTTCCTAATGTTATATTTCTAATAATAAATAAATTGTCTTGAAGCAGATGTGTAGTAAAGGTAAAAGGTAAAGTCGGGAGATGTGAACCATAAACCATAAGTTATAAACCATAAGTGCTCTGCCACCAGTACAGACAGCTGATAAGAAACTGTCCATCTGTGTCACCGTCCGTACGAAACTCCTTAGCTACAGCAACGTTCCTCCATTTACCCCAGAGTATTAACTCTGGTACCTATTTCCTAGAGGCTGGGTGAACCCTGGAAACTGTCCGGTTTTGAACACCAGCTGTGGGCTGATGTGTATTGCTGTCCTGTATTTTCTTCTTCTTCTTTGCGTTCACCGGCCATAAACTCCGGCGGAAAGTCCTGGTTGCTCGTCCACCTGTGGACTTGACTCTTCTTCTAGAACTTGAGTGTTGTGTACACATCCATTTTACAGATGTGATCTGTTTTGTGCAGATTGTTGGTTCTTGCCTCTCGGGCAGATGCACTCCAACTTCAAAGGAAGCCCCCCAGTTAGTCTACTCTTAGGTCATGCTCATTGGAGAGGGACTGAGTATATTCTAGTTTTTCCCACAGGGGGGCCCCAGAACCCACACAGGGAGTCCAGTATTTTAAATGTGTAAATAATTCTAATTTGGTTCTTTTCTTATTTCCTTAGGCCAAAGTGGCACATACACCGGTGCAAGCTGGCAAGCGCCATACCCGGCATACCCTGGACAAGGATTTCCCACCCCCCAGATGCCACCCGGATACAACCCTCTGAACCCCTACATGGGCTACCAACAACAGCCGCCTCTGAACTATCCCCATCCAGGACATCAACCTTCATACCCCCAGCAAGGACAACAGCCACCTTACCCACAACAGGGACAGCCATATGGTCAGCAGTACCCTGGCCAGCCAGCCTACCCACCACAGCAGCCCCCTCAGGCTGGATACCCCTACCCAGGATACCCTCAACAGTATCATTAAGATTTGTGAATTATCAATAATTTAATTAATGTGCATAGTTTCTTGAGAGAAAACAACAGTACATGCAAAATAATGTCATGAAATAACAGATCAAAATATACAAAAGTACAAAACATCATCATTAGACATAACTTGCTTACAGTAAAAGTAACGTTAGTCTCCCCAGACCCCATCCATATACACACTAGCTCACTTCTGATTAGTAGTTCCTGAGCCCCGTAAACTTCGCACAAGGTTACAGGGGTGTTCTGCAAAGCCGTTGACATTGCATGTTGTATATTTCAGCACGCCAGCGCTTCTAACACTCCAAAAACATGGAGAAACTGGCTCTAACACAACTCCCTTAGTGCTGCAACCTATGTCTCTTTCTCGGAATAAAAACGTAAATGCAAGACATCACAGAAACCAAACAATAGAGCGGGACACACCTGTAACCTTCAGGAAAATCGACCAGCCCAACAAACTTGTGAATGAGAAGTGATCTATTCTGTTTGGGGAGACTAACATGAACCTAACCCTTGCTTACATGTGTACTTTCTTCTTCTTCTGAGCAAAGGGGGAGTTGGGGAGTTTGAATAGAGCCACTGCCCCCACAATAAGTATGAATAACTAGGGGTGTTTCCTTCAAAGTCAGGATGCATCTGCCTGAGAAGTGAACAGCCAACAGACTGCTTACAGATAGGCCAGATTTGAACAAAGCACTGAAAATTTACACCGGAGTTTACAGCCAGTTAACGGGTTAATTAACACAAGAAAAGCTGATTATGTTAGGATTTAGCAATGATACGGTGGGTTAATTAACACAAGAAAAGCTGATTATGTTAGGATTTAGCAATGATACGGTGGGTTAATTAACACAAGAAAAGCTGATTATGTTAGGATTTAGCAATGATACTGTGGGCTAATGTAACACAAGAAAAGCTGATTATGTTAGGATTTAGCAATGATACGGTGGGCAATGATACTGTGGGCTAATGTAACACAAGAAAAGCTGATTATGTTAGGATTTAGCAATGATACTGTGGGCTAATGTAACACAAGAAAAGCTGATTATGTTAGGATTTAGCAATGATACTGTGGGCTAATGTAACACAAGAAAAGCTGATTATGTTAGGATTTAGCAATGATACTGTGGGCTAATGTAACACAAGAAAAGCTGATTATGTTAGGATTTAGCAATGATACGGTGGGTTAATTAACACAAGAAAAGCTGATTATGTTAGGATTTAGTAATGATACGGTGGGCTAATGTAACACAAGAAAAGCTGATTATGTTAGGATTTAGCAATGATACGGTGGGTTAATTAACACAAGAAAAGCTGATTATGTTAGGATTTAGCAATGATACTGTGGGCTAATGTAACACAAGAAAAGCTGATTATGTTAGGATTTAGCAATGATACGGTGGGTTAATTAACACAAGAAAAGCTGATTATGTTAGGATTTAGCAATGATACTGTGGGCTAATGTAACACAAGAAAAGCTGATTATGTTAGGATTTAGCAATGATACTGTGGGCTAATGTAACACAAGAAAAGCTGATTATGTTAGGATTTAGGATTGATACTGTGGGCTAATGTAACACAAGAAAAGCTGATTATGTTAGGATTTAGGATTGATACGGTGGGCTAATGTAACACAACTGCCAAGGGATATTTTTATGTGGGCAACAATGCACACTGGCATCCGATTTCACTACCCAGAGACTAGGGGGAATTACTGGAAGTCCAAGTCCACATGAAAAAATCTCACCATTACCAGGGATTGAACCCAGAACCTCTTGCACTCGAGGCGGACACTATACCTCAAGACCAGGTACCCTCCCGGATCAAAGAAGAAGAAGAAGCAGTTAACACCTGGTGACTTGAATGATGCTGATGGGTAAAGGAAACTTATGACTGAAGAAAAGTTGTGCAACTGTTCCATTGTGATATGTTTGTTGACATGTTCAATTAAGCTGTACTTGAAACTGTTCTAGAAGTATGTCTATACAATTTGTATGAATTGTACATTGTGTTGAGCAGCTGAACAGTCTTATGATTTCAGGTTTCCGTTGTGAAACTGCCGTTTAGGTTTCATGTTTGTGTGAAGATGACAAAAACATATTTGATTATATATGGTTGGTGGGTTTTTAGATGGTTGATTAGTAGGTTTTTAGATGGTTGATTGGTGGGTTTTTTAGATTTTTAATTGGTGCGGTTTTAGATGGTTGATTAGTGGGTTTTTAGATGGTTGATTGGTGGAGTTTTAGATGGTTGATTGATGGGTTTTTAGATGGTTGATTTGTGGGTTTTTAGATGATTGGTGGGTTTTTAGATAGTTGATTGGTGGAGTTTTAGATTTTTTGATTGGTGCCGTTTTAGATGGTTGATAGGTGGGTTTTTAGATGGTTGATTGATGGGTTTTTAGATGGTTGATTGGTGGAGTTTTAGATTTTTGATTGGTGCGGTTTTAGATGGTTGATTGGAGGTTTTTTAGGTGGTTGATTGGTGGGTTTTTAGTTGGTTTATTGGTGGAGTTCTAGATGGTTGATTGGTGGGTTTTTATAAGGTTGATTGGTGAAGTTTTAGATGGTTGGTTGGTGGAGTTTTTAGATGGTTGATTGGTGGATTTTTAGATGGTTGATCGATAGGTGTTTAGATGGTTGATTGGTTGTTTTTAGATGGTTGATTGGTAGGTTTATAGATGGTTGGTGGGATTTTAGGAGGGTTGATTGATGAGTTGATTTGTGGGTTTTTAGATGCCTGATTGGTGGGTGTTGAGTTGGTTGATTGGTGGGTTTTTGGGCGGTGCTTAATTAAATTGTGTATTCATTAGTTGGTTAGTGGTTCTTTTGAATGGTTGATTGGATGATTGGTTGGATGGCTGTTAGTCAAATGGTTGGTTAAGCAACAGGTTGTGAATCCTCTGGAAGATTTATGAATTCTACTTCTTGTGTGGTCAACCTGAAAATTATAGTCGGTACATTGAGTTGTAGTTTACAGCTAAGCTTTCGTATCGTTTATTCATACATTCATTGTCCTCTTGTATCATTATATGTAAAAATAGCTCTTGCAGTCTATTCCTCTATTCCATTCTACCCAGTGCAATCACTTTGATATCATGGATGGAATCCAGCCCAGCACCTTTAGCTTCTTTTATCCACTTTCACCTTAGGGTTTCTCTAAGATATCCTCACTTTCCATGTCAATGCCTGATTGGTGTTTCTCCATTCTCTCTTCTCAAATTGTGTCTAGTATAATGCTTTCTCTGTCTCATAATTGTTGATACTATAATGAATATCTTCTGCAAAGAAATGTCAGTAAATCCTTAATTTGTCCTCTGTTACAACCTTCTTGTCAATTGGCATGGGCCTTTTTCCCTTAAAAGAAATGTTGCTCTAGAATCTTTTTCTTATTCTTTCTTCTTCTTCTTCATGTTCACCGGCTGCAAACTCTGGCAGAAAGTCGTGGTTGTTTGTCCACCTCTGGACTTTAGTGTCATTCCAGAAGCTGACTGTTGCATGCACATCCATGTGTTTGTTTGTTTGTTTGTTCTAGTATCCAGAAGCCATGAGTTGTTAACCCTTAGGCTCAGTATTATGGATATCGCAACCTTTCGGCCTTGATTCCATTGTAAATACCGTAAATCTGGAAGAAAATGTGGCTTTTACTGCCTACCCCCGGGAGTGAACCCGGACCACAAGGGGTTCGTCACCCGCTCACCGCGCAATCCGGTTTAGCCAACTACGCTAGAGAGCCGGGCGCACATCCATTTAACAGATCTAACTTAATTGTATGCAGATCGTTGGTTCCTTGCCTCTCAGGCAGATGCACTCCGACTTCATAGGAAGCCTCTAATTAGTCAACTCTTATGACATGCTTGTTGGGGGAGGCAGTGGGTTTGTTCTTGTTTTCCCCAAAATGGGGCCCCGGAACCCACACAGATGATCAGTAGTTTGAATGAAAGGATACAGATTGAGAACACCAAACTGGTATGTTTGTTTACTGTACCCTGATGGATTCATTATGGATGAGGTTGAAGCTTTTGTGCAGAGCTTAGTGAGGGTACTTCCAGCTGAACTGAAAGAGGCGGATCTGGAAATTTGTAGAGAATGGGGCGATTAATCAGTTCATTGTCAGCTCTAGAAATATTTTATGTCATGTTTGCGGTGAATAAAGGTGAGAGCATCGACCTAAATGTACCGGGTTTGAACCCACCTGGCTTGGTCTCTCTCAGCAGAGAGTTGAGCTGCCTGCCTTAACTCTTAGGGTACCAAGGAGTGCACATGTTGATTTATATAGCTGTCCTCTGGTACTGACGGCATGCATGAGCTTATACGTGTGCAAGATCTTTGCGTGTATGAGAGAAAGAGAGGGCTCATGTGTGTGTGTGCATACATGTGAGAGAGAGAGTGGGCTTATGGGTGTGCATGAGCTTATGTGTGTGCAAGAGCTTACGAGTGTGCAACATCTTTGTGTGTGAGAGAGAGAGAGAGTGGGCTTATGTGTGCATAAGCTTATGTGTGTGCAAGAGCTTACGAGTGTGCAACATCTTTGTGTGTAAGAGAGAGAGAGAGTGGGCTTATGTATGCATAAGCTTATGTGTGTGCAAGAGCTTAAGAGTGCAAGATCTGTGTGTGTGTGTGCATGTGAGAGAGTGATAGAGGGCTTATGTGTGTGTATGGGCTTATGGGTATGCAAGATCTTTGTGTGTGCATGTGAGAGAGAGAGACAGAGATAGAGGGGTTATGTGTGTGCTTGAGCTTATGTGCATAAAGATCTTTGTGTATGCATGCATAAGAGAGAGAGAGAGAGCTTATGTGTGTGCACAAGTTTATGTGCGTAAAAATCTTTGTTTGTATGAGAGAAAGAGAGGGCTTATGTATGTGTATATATATATATGTGTGTGAGAAAGAGAGGGCTCACAGGTGTACATGAGCTTATGTTTGAATCGATGAAGTTGGTGTGCAGATATTTATGGTTTATGTGTAGGAATGTTGATAGTCTTGGTAACTGTGT